AGTACAAACACTATGGAAAACAGTATGGAAATTCCTTAAGTAACTATAAGCAGAAATATCATTTGATCCAGCAATCCCACTACTGGGCATCTACCTAGAGGAAAAGAAGAGATTACATGAAAAAAAGCACTTGTACACACATGTTTATGGCAGCACAATTTGCAATTACAAATATATGGAACCAACCTATGTGCCTATCAACCAACAAGTGAACAAAGAAAGTGTGGTATATATATACACCATGGAATACTACTCAGTCATTAAAAGGAAAAAAATAACGTATTTTACAGCAAATTGGGTGATGGTGGAGGCCATTATTCTAACTAAAGTTACTCAGGAATGGAAAAGCAAACATCATATGTTCTCACTTGTACATGCAAGGTAAGCTATGAGGATGCAAAGGCATAAGAGTGATACAATGAACTTTGGGGGACTTGAGGGGTGAACGTCAGATGAGGGTGGTGAGGGATTAAAGATTATATGTTGGGTACAGTGTATATTGCTTACATGATAAGTGCACTAAAATCTCATCACCACTGAAGAACCTATCCATGTAACCAAAATCCACCTGTACCCCAAAAAACTATAAAGAAATAAGCCTTGAAGTCAGAAAAGAAAAAAGATCCCTGAACTGATGATGCCACATTAAGGTAAGGGTAAGGATATGATAAACATCCTGTACAGATTTGGAAAGTATGAATTCTTAGAATCTTTTAGCAATACAATTTAGAAATATCTAACAAGTTGTGAAATACATATATCATTAAATCCAATAACATTATTTCTAGGAAGGGACTCTACAGACATGCTTGCATATCTATATACACATGCACTAATGAAGTGCACAAAATGCCATGTACCATGTATTTATGTTGCAGCTTTGTTTATAATAAAAAATGGATGTAACTAAAGCAGGTATTAACAGGAAATTTTTTAATTAAATGATGGACAGTCATATAATGGAAAATGGTTTACAAAAAGGTAGTAGTGACGTACTGGAATATATACACAATACGTTTAATGAACAAAACATACAATGCAGTGTATTGTACATAGTGTGATCCCACTATTATAAAAAATAATGAAAATAGCAGACTTTAGTGATTATCATACACAAATTACATCTGAGAGTAAGTTGATAGGCTAGAGTAAGCCTTTGGTAAAAATACAAACCTATCAGTGTGATAGATTTAAGACTGTCATTGCTCTAGGTACTGTAGAAACCCACTGCTCTGATTAGCCTTAAGAATTTTCAACAGGAAAATGAGAACAAACAATAAAAATGATTTATTGGTACCAGATTCTGAAAATGTTTCATACTGGTAGACTCACACCTACATATTGCTAGATTTGCACTGCTGACCAAATGTATGACATCTCTTATATATACACATACATACCCTTCACATGCTCATAAACCAAAAGACAAAAACTGAAAGAAATTTATAACATTTCAATACCACAAATCAGTATTTCTATATGTAAAATATAATGAAATATACCAAGTACTTTCAAGTTATAAAGGTGCTTAGTGATGCCCATTTACTCATCTCATTTCTTTATCAACTATTAACGGCAGCAGCTACTCCAGAGAGCCTGCGACTACCATCACGCTGGCTACAGCAGGGAGGCTTGGCCAGGGCTGCATGCTCCATGGAGTGTGTGGGAGTCAGGGACAAGTGGGAGCCCGACCTTTTCTGAGTTGAGGCAGGAGCTCCCCTGGTGCACTGCAGCCATTCAAAACACAGCTACAGACCGGGGCCTCCCAGGCCACACCTGCTCCATTGAGCAGGCAGGAGCCACTGCCCGCATTTCCCCACACAGCTGCAGTTGCCCAAACCATGGCTGCACACTCAGTCATCCCTGCACCCTTGGGGGCCCAGAAAGGGCCCCTGCCCTCACAGGCTCAGAAGTGCCTGCTCCCACTTCCTGGCTTCTCTCTGCTGTTGGCACCCGCTCTGATCTTGCAGCAAAGTCGAGGCTGAGCCTGGGTGCCATGAACAGCAGTGGGAGACAGACAGATTCCTGAGAAGAAAGGGATGGATGCCTGGTGAGGATGGGGATGACCAGCAGCAGAGAGGAACTACCCACTCCAGGGTCTCCTTTCTGTTGTGCACTTTAGAGACTTGCAGGGACATCAGGACTACCAGCTGCAGAAAGGAGCAACCCGCACCAGGGCCTCCTCTCTGCTTGGAGCTGGGGAGATGATGAGGGCCTGCCTGCAGAGAAGAGCAACCCATTCCAAGGCCTCCTATCTGTTGGGAGCTGGGAAGATGACAGGACAACCTGCCTGCAGAGAGGAGCTTCCCACTCCAGGGTCCCCCCTTTGCTAGGAACTAAACACTCTGGACATCCTGACTGCAAAGAGAAGCTACCCCTGTGGGTCTCCTGTGAGCTACTCTATTGCTCAATAAAACCCTTCATCTTGGCTCACCCTCCACTTCTCTGTGTACCTCATTAGTCCTGGTCACAGAAGAACTTGGGACCTGCCAAACAGCAAAGGTAAAAGAGCTATAACACAAACAGTGCTGAAACATGCCCATTGTTTACCATGTTGCAGTCAAAGGAAAGAATAGCTGCAGCCCCTGGGGAAGCCCAGACCTGGGAGCTCCCTCAACCAGGGCTGTGACTTCATCTTTGGGGTCCTGCAGTGTCCAGCATCTTCAAGCTGCTGGGTACCACAGAATTCCTGGTGCCAGCCAGGGAAGCTGCTTATGGTGTGTCTGGGCCAGCCACAGCCTTGCAGAGAGCTGGCACCTGTGCCAGCACCCAGAGCTGCCTGCCCTGCTGCAGTAGCCAGCATGTCTGACTGCACGGTGGCCGGATCCCATGTTCACACACCCCCTGCCACCCCATGCCTGATTTGACCTTGGCAGGCATGGGATCCAGGCTGGTAGCATGAGAAAAGTGCAGCCTGCCAGGCCAAGTGGGTGGAATGAGCCCAGAAGGAACAAGAAAACTCAGGAAAAGGTGCCACCAGACAGAGGTTTCAGGCCAGAAAAACAACATTCTAAAGATCCTGTAACACTATTACCTACAACTACTAAGAAGTTTTTATAGAAATAAAATATATTTTTATGACAAATTCAGCATTCTATTTTTCCATCTTCTAAAAATAAAAATAGGCACAGACATTGAAATAGTAAGAGTTGGCAAACTTTTATTTTCTACTTCACACTTTTAACTTTATTGAAACTACCACTGTTGCTTATGAGTCTGCAGCTACTTTGCATGTTGGATGTGCATATATAGTAAAGGTTACTCATTTAAGTAGGTATTTTGTTTGTTTGCTTTGTTTCCTTAACTAAGAGCAGTAAGAGGCAAGCTCTCTGGATTTTGTGAAGCTATCTTTGTTCCTTTGGCCCCCTCCCTTTCCCTCATCCCTTTCTTCAGCCTGAGGACATTCTACCAGTGAGTCTGTATGGCTTGGGGGTGGGGGCAGTTGCTGACTCATAATTAGGAATAGGTTTATATGAATAATATCTCTGTGTTATTCATCATAAAGTTACTAAACACATTCAAATTTGCTTCACTCCATTATTGCATATTGAAAATACAAGATGAAGGCAAACAGAATATGTAAACATTTTATACTGCAAGACAATGAATGCTTGTTTTAAATCTCTGGAGATGGTTTTGTCTGGCTCTGTCCCCACCCAGATCTCATCTCAAATTGTAATCCCCACAATGCCCATGTGTTGAGGGAGGGATCTGGTGGGAGGTGATTAGATCACAGGGGTGGCTTCCCCCATGCTGTTCTCATGTTAGTGAGTTCTCATGAGATCTGATGGTTTTATATGTGTTTGACAGGTCCTCCTTCACAGGCACTCTCTTGTCTGCTGCCGTGTAAGACATGCCTTGCTTCCCCTTGGCTGTCAGCCATCCGCCATGATTGTAAGTCTCCTGGGTCCTCCCCAGACATGCTGAACTGTGAGTCAATTAAACCTCTTTCCTTTATAAATTACCCAGCGTCAGGTAGTTTCTTTATAGCATTGTGAGAACAGTGTAATACAGGGAATACTAGGTCAGGTTAAGAAAATGAAGAAATAGGTTAAAATGAGAGGGAAAATTGAAAAGATTTCCCTATTTACAATGGTGTAAGAACTTATAATACACTACCAACACAGGATCTGTCTGAGTTTTGAAAAACTTCAAAAATGATTACAAATATTTTTTTCCTGAAAAGTATTCCTGTCTGAGAGCTGTGGGACCAAGTAAATGACTACACCATTTATTTCTGCATTCTGATTTAATGACAAGGTACATTCCTTTAATATTATTATTATTATTATTATTATTATTATTATTATTATTTTGAGATGGAATCTTGCTCTGTTGTTAGGCTGGAGTGCAGTGGCATGATCTCAGCTCACTGCAACCTCCACCTCTTGGGTTCAAGCGATTCCCTGGCCTCAGGCTCCCAAGTAGCTGAGACTACAGGCATGTGCCACCACACCCGGCTAATTTTTTGCATTTTGGCAGAGACGGGTTTCACTATGTTGGCCCGGATGGCCTCGATCTCCTGACCTCGTGATCTGCCCACCTCGGCCTCCCAAAGTGCTGAGATTACAGGCGTGAGCCACTGTGCCTGGCTCTCCCTTAATATTCTTAACCTAGTATATACATTTAAATCAAGCCCCAAGCTTTTCACCTATACTAAAATAATAAATAGCACATGTAAAATTTCCTATTAGGCAAACAAAAACATCCTATTAAAGTGCACATAATAACCTTATCTATGACTATCAATCATACAATAAAGTATTTCCTCTTGGTTAAAGAAAAGTTACAATTTTCCCCAAAAGTAGTAGCTCTAGGTAGGTAAGTTTTTTTCTTTATATCTAAAACAAAAATATTCTTTTATTTTCTTTTTTTTAATAGGCTTGCCATCAAAATATAATAAAGGTGATTATTTCAGTGCCAGGTGCCTCAAGGTAGCACTTGTTACACACATTTAAAGAAATGCCTAAACAATGAAGCAATTTCAGAGAATGACTTACCCTCCCTTAATGTAGTCAAGGAATGAAACTTCTGTTTCTACCAAGAAAGAGAGTAAAGTTACCTGAAAAAGAAAAAGACAAAATTACCTTCTAGTTGTTTGTAACCCCAAATAGACTCTTTTCTATTACAGAGAAAATCATATTTCTTTGCATTTTGAAAATCACTAAGGACATTATTTTTTATTAACATCTGCTAGGACTGATTGTTCTTACATTTAAAATTATCTGAAGGAAAGGGACCAAAAAAAATTAACCAATGTCTTTCCATGACCAGTTTCCTTCCTTTGAAGAACAGCATGAAAATTATCTACAAGGACATTGTGTTATTTCCCACTGTAGATAAAAGGAAAGATGAAAGGGAGTTAAAACCAAAAAACCAAAATCAGTGAGCAAAGCCTTCAAGAGGAAATGTGTGTTTTCAGTCATGTTTCTGTAATGAGCCCATCTAATGTTTTAACTGTCTTGCTTTATAGAGATCTTTAAAAGAAAACAGAAAAAACTTAGATTTTGCTTCTCCCCAAAAAAGTTAATCAGAAATAAAAACTCTGCAGTACATTTTTTCTTAAAATGCTGATTTTTTATGATTGTTTGATACTTCCATCTTTCTACCCTTCTGTACTGATTTAGTACATCATTCCCACAGAGTTGTCAATTGTAATGACAACTTTTTTGAATGAGCACATACACATACCATGAAATGAGTCTTACTTAAGTACAGCCTGTAAAGAGTACAGTATTTCTTACTTCCACTTATATTTTTTTATTTCTGCCTGATTCACTCTACTCTGATTCCATTGAATGAAGAGTTTATAATACAACCTTCAGCGTCTCTCAGAGGCCTTGTAGCCCCTAGAATAATCTACAAGAAGCCAAGTCACTACCTTCTATCAGCTGCTCTCCATTACAATCAGTCCCCTGGGAAGTTGATTTTTCTATTATGTTCCTTCATATTAAAACACTAAGTGAAACACAGCTCAGATTTTCAATTGCTTCTAGTAGGATTAAAGATGCCATATACATATATGCTTATTCATTTATTTTAATCTTTAAAAAATAACATAATATTTGACTTACTGTTCCAGAATTAGTGTATTTTTTCTTTTTTCCTTTCTTTTTGGGATTCACCACCTTAAAAGGCAGACAAAACAATTAAAATGTGTTAGGGTTTATACTGACTTTTAAAACATTTGTAGTTCAACTTGCGGCCTTCACTTCTTATGCATGTATTCATTTACAAATGCTTTCAGTATGACTTTAGACAGTCATTCAGCCAAAACTTCTCTGCAAAGGTTAATAGTGACTGTCTTTAAAAAAAAAATGTTTTGTTTGTAATATTCTTCTCACCTGTACATATTGATTACCCTTAACTATGGTCACCTTCTTGATATGATAGAGACCTTTAACATCTAAGGTCCTAAATAATGAGTGCTTTATAGAAAAATGATGGGTTGTTAAAGTATATTCAAGTGACATAACTTTAAAAATTAGATGAAATACACGAACATAGCAAATCATCCAATGTGTGAATATTTAAAGGATCTGTTGACCTAACTATTGCTTTATAATGATAGTCATTTCCACCAGTTACCAAGGCTACACAGTAATTGGTAAATGTCTGGTTTGTGGACATAAGATTGGCCTTTTGACTATTTGTTCCAAGAGTAAATTTGATTGCAGTTCTATATTTCATAAAACATTAGGGGATATAGGAAATATTAAGATAAGACCTGCCAATCTAATAGGATAAATATAATACATAATTGCCTGAAGACAGACTTCTTCAGATCATCTCAATCCAAAATATGGGGAAAGCATTTGACAGGAAAAGGTGAAATAATTTGTGAATAAGTATTAATTGAACCGTAATTTATTATTTTAACTAGGGCTTCAATGTTAAAAAATCAATAAATACGCCATTCTAGGAAGAAGAAAAAGCAACTGATCCAGGTTGGCTGGGGTAGAGAGCCCACATAACCAGGTCAGAAGTGAATCCGAAAAAATAAGCTGAGGCCATGTTAAGATCCTTAATCCCAGGCCAGGGAGTTTGGGTGTTATTTAGTTGATGTTTAACAGGAGAATTATATAATAGGTCTACAGCAGCAGTCCCCAACCTTTTTGGCACCACGGACTGGTTTCATGGAAGACAATATTTCCATGGACAGGGGTGTGGAGGATGGTTTTGGGATGAAACTGCTACCTCAGATCATCAGGCAATAGATTCTTATCAGGAGCACACAGGAGGCAAAGCTCAGGCAGTAATGCTCCTTTGCTTGCAGCTCACCTCCTGCTGGGTGGCCCAGTCCCTACAAGTCCACAGGCCTGTACTAGTCTGTGTCCTGAGGGATGGGAACCCCTGGTCTACAGAATAGAGTTGTAAGGGGAGAAAATGGAGGCAACAGTTGGGGTCCTATTTTAAATAGTCTATGCAAGAAGTAATAAAACATTAAATACGGCAGCCCCATTGAAAATTGCTCGCAGAGAAAAATTAAAAAAATAGAATAAAGTACATTTGGCAGGTTAAAGTAGAAAATCTAAAGAAGAAATGGTCATCCATCTCATGTATTACCTATTGTGTATTTCAGAAAGCCCTAAATGAACACATTCTATAGGAAAACGTGCATCAGTAAGGATGGTGGGTATCACCAGCAAGATCACACATTTGTCAGATGGTTCAGTGGTTTTACTATTAAGTACAGAAAAGGTTATCTGGAGGAGAAAGGTAATGTTTGATCTTGAGGTTTGAAGAATTACTCAATTCTTCCAGATAATCTGAGGAACACACAACTCTCAACAATATATAGGAAATCAGTGAATAAAGTTCATTCAATCATAAGTTTGAAAATAAAGAGTTCAGTGATACACTTTTCTTGAAAAACTGTATTTCAGCATTTTTCTACCTAAAAATCATTCATCTAGCATTATGCTTTTGGTTTAGAAGAGGTTTTCCTAAATTTTAGGAGCCACTTTTATAATTTCAAAAGCATCTTTCAGTTCATATTAGTCTTTTGCCTATCAGCATATCATAAGGTACTACTGTCACAGAAATATTACCTCAGATGATTTGGTTTTACATTACATAATTAAATTTAATTACATAAATATTTTTTCATTTAATCACACAGGATCATTTCAATCACCAATAGTACATCTGATATAACAATAATAAAGTTATGTAATATATAAATAAAATAGCATTTGTCACTTCTAAAACTAAATAACGGACTATGGAAGTAACTTTAGAATGATGGAATAAGATGCTCTGAAAAACTGCTTGTCCATAAAGACAATAAGAACATTACCAAAAATTGTCAAAATCAAATTTTTTTCATGAATCTGGAAATTAATAAAAGGCTTGCAACAATCAATGATCACTCATTCAAGAAAAAGAGTAAATCTCACTATGTCATTTTAATTTGCTTTACTCCAGTCCTACTTTTCTCAGCTCTGTAATAGCACTGAAAACCGTCAGCTTAGCAACTACAGTAGCTGTGTAAACCAACAGTCTAAAAGCCACTGGGAGGGGACAGAATGGGTATGAACTTCTTCAAAAAGTGTCTGAGGTAATGAATGTGATAATTACCCTGATCTGATCATTACACAATGTGTATATATATATTGAAACACCATACTGTACACCATTAATATTTACAATTACCATGTGTCAATTAAAAACAAAAGAATGTGTTTTTTCTAGAGGTCATTAACTGACCTACACGGAAGCTTTCTGGAGAAGCTCCATTCATAGGGCTTGGGCTTGTCATTAACTGACTTAAAGCTTGCTCAGGAGAAGCCCTATCTCCAGGACATTTGTGAAAAGCAGTCAGTGGCAGGTTTGTAACAGCATATCTGCTGGAGGTGATGATTTTATCTGGGCCAAGTAAGAGGCTAACTCAAAAAAACAAAAAGGAAGATCTAGGGAATGGGATGTTTATAGGGGGCTTTTAAAAGCTCTGGGTTATTGCTGGAAATCTGGAAGGCCACACCCTTTGAAGTGCTATACACATGCCCAGGAAAGATCTAGGGAATTCTTATCTCCGTCCAACCTCAAGTCTCTGCTCAAACAAGTGAAAGCTAAGTCAGGATTTGACATTGTTGGAGCACATAAAGAGTGCCCAAGTGTACACAAATCTCTATCAAATCATCTGCTGATCACAAATCTAACCAAGCAAACACTTAAGTAGCCCACACAACAAAAAGTAATGATTTTATAGAATTTGTCCTTGAAAATCACTAAACAAAGAGCAAAAAACAAACACCTTGGAGAAGGTGGAGAATCTAATTTCCAATATAATCCATTATATTACTTAAAGCTTCCAGCATTCAACAACAACAAAAATAAGATTTTCAAAGAAACAGGAAAGTATGGACCACCTTTTCTATACACAGAAAAAAGTAGTTGGCAGAAATTGTTCCTGGGGACTTGCAGACATGGGATTTATTAAACAAAGTTTTTAAATCAGCCATTACAGATATATTGAAAGAAGGAAAACATGTCTAAAGGATTAAGTATGAAACAATTCCTTGCCAAATAGAAAACATTAAAAAAAGGATCAAAATTATATAAAAAGGAACCAAACAGAAATTCTCAACTTGAAAAGTACAACTGAAATGAAAAATTTGCCAGGAGCGTTCAACAGAATATTTGAGCTGGCAGGAGAAATAATCAATAACTTTGAAGATTTGTCAATTGAGATTTTCCTGTTTGAGAAACAAAACAAAAAAAAGACAAAGAGGAAAAAAAAAAAAACCAAAACAGAGCCTAAAAGAGCCACGGGCCACCATTAAGCATAACCACGGTGTGGTTATGCATAAAGAAGTAGAATGGTAGTACCAAAAAGAGAGAGGAGAAAGAGAAAGTGGCGGAAATAATTATTTGAAGGACTAATGGCTGGAAATTTTTTCAGTTGCATTGATAAGCCTGAATCCCTTGCATAAGTGCAGATAATGATGTTTGCAATGTATTAGACTAGATTGTCCATTGAAACCCTAAAATTACTTGTACATAATTCATAATGGGCTCCTACATTTTCTTCAGACTGATCTCTTCTTTTGAAAATATGTACGTATAATAAGAAGACATTTATATTTGAAGTCATGGTCTTATAGGTATTTAAGAAGAAATAAACATTAAGCTTCTTTGTCATCTCATCAGATGTGGCACCAGTCTTGTCATTTAGCAAGCTTTATTGGACAAGAGAGGTTGGAGATGGACTGAAACCAATGATGAGAAAATGCTATAAAAGCTAGAGAAACTAAAAGTGGTTAATCTCTGGAGTATTATATGTTGATCAGCAGTAGATGATGCCTCAGTACAAGGGGAACTAGTGTGCATGTGTTATTTTTTCTCAGCCTTGACGTTAGACAGACAAAATAGGTATTTATATAATTATAACATGTCTTATATGACATATTTCCTGTTTAGAGCCATAATAATCTTTCCATAAAAGACCCAGATAGATTGGTGCATTACTTTATCTTTGTCTCTGACTGAGAAATTTTATTGAACTGAGTTTGGCCCCTCTGTAATAATTTCATGGTGCAGTAAGTATACTGCTATATAGAGCACAATCGACACAAAACATATTTTATACAAAACATATTTTATATCTGTCTCTCCCAAAGACACTGAAATTTGTATTCACCTCGGTATCCCCAGGACCTAACACAAAACATGAAATATAGAAACTACTTACTAAAATTTTTTATGAATGAATACATGATGATGGAATAAAGTAATAGAAGGAGTTTTCTTCACTCTCTACTTAATAGAGGCCAATTTTAACATCAACCTGGCAGGAAAGTATTACCATTCTTGATTAAACACTGAGATATTTTCTTTTGGTATCCACATATATTAAAATTATGAGGAAATGTACAGATACTATACCTCAAGGAATAACAGTGCTAGAACATACTATATGCTCAACAAATATCTGGTGATTAACTGGCACGGTGGTTTTAGGCGAAAATAACTATAATGTGTCTGCTTTAACAACTTGGATTTATTTAATGACTGCATATTACCTTGTCATTTCCTTCAGTCTCCACCTAAACAGTAGTGAAGGTGCTCAGATATATATGCAGACCACAGCTCATTTTATAATGACACATTGACACAATTAAATGCCTAATTTTCTTCTTTATTAGGAAGGGGTGGAAGACGAGGTTGGTAGAAAGGCAAAACATAAAGGCTGAAGCTTAAGAAACAATGAACTTATATCCATATTTTTAAAGCAAAATGCTTTATACATAAGAATTTAAAATCAAAGACATTTAAATGTGATTTGAAGAAGTAATATCATTGAATCTAAATATGCTCAACAACTTCAAAGATTCTTACACACACTGGCACTTAGTTAACCCTTGGCAATTACATTTTGCAGAATCCATACTTTTAAAGCAAAGATTTATTTATTCTAGAAAAAAACAACTGTAAAATAAAATGCCTCTTACCTCATATACATTGAATTGTGACTGGCCTCTAGAAAGTTCCCTATAGCTTGTTGTAAATTCCCCAATGAAATCATGACTAAAATTAAAGGAAAAAAGTACAGAATATTAGCTTTCATATATTTGTCAATTGTATTTTAAAGTTTTTAGAAAGGTTTAATCATTATAAAAAAAATACTTGATATTATTATGAATATAACAATAACTTATAAGATATTTAAAAGGACTAATACATAATTACATTGTTCATTAATCTAAAATTATGTATACTGGACAATTATATTTTCTTAATATTCAAATGTTTATTCCACCAGTATTAACATTTCAAACAGGTATACTAGTTTTAATAACTGATATCTCAAAACAGTTAAATCATCTGTTATTCAACTGATTAATCAGGATGAAAGTTAGAAATTATGCTAATAAATTATTATTGTCCATATCAATGGATATCTATTTTTAAAATATAATATTTAAAAAATCTTCAAACTTTCCTATGGCCAGAGTATACTAGGATGCTATTTTTAAAAAGCATAATACATTAACATGGATATTAGTCACTAAACTTTCTTTTCTATATTAATAGTTAATAAATATTTTATCAATACCAACATGTTAATTCAGATTTCTTCACCTTAAAGTGATCATCACTACCTTCTCAAGTGCATTCTTAGTTTAGGTGAGGACAGGTAAGGATTGAGTAAACATGTATTAGTTCTCACTAAAAAGCTTTTATCAACTGAGATTGACCTGTGCAACTGCAAAAAACATGCTAAGCAATCGGCAGTTTAGAGCAGACTCTTGTTCTACTCCCTTGAGTTAATTTAATGGCCAGTGCTAAGTTGAACACGTACTGCTGAGAAGTAAGTACAAAATACTGGTATTCAGTGCAACAGTGAAATGTAGTATGTTAGAAAAAGATACAGGTTGTAGGAGCTAAAGTAGTATAACAAACATAAGAGATGTCACAGTAGCCATTTGTATAATAGAATTCAAGTTCTGCCAATTTGTTTGGCAAATGCAAGCTATTCCACGCCATAAAAATGAATGTTCCCTAAAATCCCATCCAATTTAATATTTAGCCGTGAATCGCTTAAAATCCATGAAACTTTCGTGGACCTGGCAATCAGTAACAAGCAATACACAAGCTGTGTTTAACCAATGAAAATACTGATTGTGAAAGACAGGATATGGCGGGGTAAAAAAGCTAGCTGCCATTGATTTTAGTAGAGTTTTTACAGTAAAAAGAAATGTTTTTAAAGAACTTATTTGAGATAAAACTCACTTAAGTATCCAGTCCTCTATTCTCCCTAGAATCCCTTGTATATATTAATATATCATGGTATTTTATGTGAAACATTACTCTTTATATCTGTATCACCTTGACCTCTTCTAGATTTAAATTTCAGAAGCAGATTAGTATGAATATGTGAAAAGCAAACAGAATTGTAGGCTGTGACATATTCCTATTTATGAACCCGGACTTCTAGAACTTGCTTTCAAGTTACCCAGGAAAAAAATCACAAAATAGTACTTTAGTGTTATATAATAATTTTGTAGTAGTACAATTCGTATGAAATCTGGTAACACTGGTTTAATCAGAACAAATAGAATAATTATCTTTGACCTTCAAAAGTGTAAGCTTATAGTCATGATTTATTTCACTGCAATCTTAAAATTCTCTGAGTTAGGAAGGTTTTGTTTAGTACCCATCCTCCTCCATTCTTATGCAAGTTTCAGGTATCTTAGTAACCACTGAGATAAAAGGTTCTATTAGAGCACTTTGAACACAACCTTTTGATATCAATGGTTATACAGGCGTCTTATATAAACAGGGCTCACCACAGCAGTGGTAGGAACCTAATATAAGGGCCTTAAAAATGCCTGCATCACTTAAGCCTTTATGATCATTTTCTGATTGTGCCAAACTTACCCATGCTTGGCTAATTATTTCAATCCAATGTTCCACTCTTAATTGTTAACATTTAAATTCCTGCCACACAATCCTTATCAAAAACATTGCAGAAAGAAGTGATAATTCACTGGTCTCAAGTAAATCCAATTTCTCATCCATCTGGATAAAGTCAGTCTGACAGAATAACAAACCTAGACCCAATTGCAATGGTCAAGGTTACCAAACTATACATTGATATGCCTGTGTTGAAGTTATTGGGAAACTTTAAAAGAAGCAGTTCTTTGATATTTGGTTCTCTTTTGTTCTAGTTAAATTTGTAAGTCTCCACAGAATTGAGGAATGAACAACAGGTATAGGACAATCTCTTTGGTATCAGGACTAGGAATCTTGTTTGCTGCCCACTTAAGCTTTCTGCTCTGAAAGGACCCTGTTTATCATGAAAGGGAGAGAGCTTTCTCCTCTGCATTGGTGGTTAGAGAGCTTACAGCTAAAGTCTCTAGCAAGACATGTCTTTGTGACATGCTGTCCCCTGCAGACTTTTCAGATTTCTCACCCTATTATTATCCCTTGGTTTCAATGTCCCCAGCCAGGTTAGTTTACTGTCATAGTACAAGAATCTCTAAAAGTTTTCTTGGATCCTTTTCAGAAGAAGATAGGACATACAGGAATACAACGATGAATAAAATGTTAGTCCTGCTTTCTAAATCTTGTTCAAGATGATTATTTTGAATAAAGCACTGTAATTGACATGTCATGTAAATGCAATGCTATCCATGTATTGCAGAGGAGAAAGTATGTTGATCACATATTGCATTTTAGCCTCCAACACAACATTTCTGTAAGACTAAGAAAATATATTGTTGTATCCATTCGGCATCTAGAGAAGTAGATGATCCAGAAGTGAGGATTTGCCAAAAGTCATAAACATAAGGCAATATATGGAGATAACAATAAAATAGCCAACCCTAGATATAAGATGTTTTGTCTCAAGAATATATCTGAAGAATTGGGGTAGATAAGTGGATAGATTCTCAGGCCAATTTTGTTACAGATCTCTTTTAATACATGGATATTTTTAATAATTTTCAACCTTTATAACCTGTCTGACTTCAAACACTGTATTATAAATCACAGATAAGTACTCTAAAGAGAACATTAAAGGTATTTTTCACTAATTTTTATTATCTTTTACCCTATCATCAACTATTCTTAGATTTTGCTAAGATTAAAAAAAATACAATGTGCATTATAATTTTATCTGTTCATGATGCTCAATACTGTAATATTGAAACAACTGTCACTATCTTGAGAAACTTTGATGGTGAAAAATACTTTGATAATAAATCACAACCAATAATTTCCTTGTGATTCAATAATACTGTTTTGCTATTTCCTGTTAATTTAATTCGAACTAAAATAATTACTCTATAAGTCCCAAGCTCTCTGACTGCATTTACAAAATAAAGTTTACTCCAGTGCCATTTATCTGGCTTGTGTCTGTTTACATCTCGATTTTTTCCCTTACCTTTTATTACATATATGTGTTATTTAAAGTCTGAGGGAATGAATTCAAGAGGCATTTTGAGCAAATTGATTACTACTATAGCTAGTAATTTGGCTTTAAAAGTCCTTAAGTGATTAAACTGTTGAATAAAATCTGTTTATTATGATCATTTCTATGCTTCATTAATAGTGGGAAAATGGTCTTATGCATAGTCACATTTATACCTGAAACCTGTAGGGCAGTCTATAAACTTATCCATTCTCCCCTACTTTTAGTGTATTACTCCCCTATATCACTTATCTTTTACTCTACAGCTCAGCTATGGTCTCCTCCAAGAAGGCTTTTCTGCTTCATTCTCTTCTTTGTTGCTCTCAAAAACATAAAACAAGCAAACAAATAACCAGTATCTCTCATCACACTTCCTATATTGTGTTAAACCCATTCTATTCATGTATTGCCTTTCTTCACCTATGTTTTGAAGGCAAGAAAGGTGATAATTTCATCTCAGGATTCCCAGCATCCGCCTCCATACCTGCTACACAATTGGCACAGCTGAATGTTGCAAACATACTTAGGGCAATAGCACAGTCATGCTGTGATCTTACCTTGCCAGTGATATTAAAAACTTTGCCTCACATCAACTATATTCAGCCAAAAAGAATGGCACAGGGGCCAATCATAATAAATATATTAACCTTCTCTATCAGCTTAAAACAACTCTGGAAGTAATGCAGACAACTATGATTTCCCATGAAAATGCCTCCACATAGTTACAACAAAGTTATATAAAAAAGAGAATATTGCCTTTTTTTGGCACATCTGAATATTTTCCTGAAGGCCGCCTTTCAATAGATAATGCTTATTTTCCTGACATTTATCTTGTTTTGCATATAATGTGGACAAATGGCAAATACACACCTAACCCATCTCATCTGTTTCTCTACCACCATGCTGTCTTGAGCCAGTCAGTCATCCTTGGGGTCCTTAAGTCTTTACCTCAAAACTGGAGGTAATGCCTACTTTCTATTTCAAACATCAACCCAGAGAATTCATTTGATTCTATGAAAGGCATCTAATTTATCAAAAATACACTTTTAGAATACAATCTAATTATGAAGACTATAATTCCAGAACTTATACATTTTGTCAATAAACAAGCTATAATCAAAATAATATGTAAAGAAGTAATAGGTTTCTAAATGGATGTGTGTTGTATCACAATATTTTGGAGTTACATACACATGTGGCTTGTATCGCTCTCATGCAGGTTATGTTTAACTCACAAGGCACATCTCTCTTTTGGAGTATACCACAGTGTGACACGTTTCAGGTATGTATCAAAGGATAGATATCTCATATGAGGATTTGTAAACAAATTGTATATGAAAGACAATTTCTCTAATTTGGATGCTGAAGAGATTTTGGAACAAAAGCTAGCATGATCTTTCTTATGGGAACAGCACCCTCAGTTTTTGTCTCTCATTTGTACTACAGTGCAGTGACTTCCCATGTTTTCCTGTCTTGCAAATCTGTTCAAGTCCTGGAATGCACATCAAGATTTTTCAAAATAGCGAGTTTGAAAATGGAGTACTCAACAAAACGAAAGACCTTTTTGAATGAAATGTAGTTATGGATACCTTAATTAAATGCATGGGTGTCA